TATATATATAGATATATATATATATAGATATATATATATATAGATATATATATATATATCTATATATATATATATAGATATATATATATATATCTATATATATATATATCTATATATATATATATCTATATATATATATATCTATATATATATATATAGATATATATATATATAGATATATATATATATAGATATATATATATATATCTATATATATATATATAGATATATATATATATAGATATATATATATATATATCTATATATATATATATCTATATATATATATATCTATATATATATATATAGATATATATATATATAGATATATATATATATATCTATATATATATATATCTATATATATATATATATTATATATATATATATCTATATATATATATATATCTATATATATATATATCTATATATATATATATAGATATATATATATATAGATATATATATATATAGATATATATATATATATATAGATATATATTTCTGCACTGCTTGAGCACCCATTTTCAATGACAGCCTCTGTGGTCACCACTAGAGAGAAGGTAGGTCAACACATATTACACTCCTTGGAATATAATAAGTTATTTAAGAAAATCAATGATATTACTTGATATTTCTGGCCAGTCATATGGTAGCAACTCCAGTCATTGGATTGCTAACCATTTTATTGCTTGCTTATACAAGAGTAAATATATATCCATTTAAATTATAGTATTAGTGATGTGATAAATATATTTCAAAACATTCTGCATGTCATCATGTACAAAAGAAACCAAAAAATAAATCTGACTATCACAGCATTACAACAGTTCACAATATAAAATGATAAGGGATAAAAGAAAATTCTCTTTTCCTTAGGAAAGGCCTGAATCATTTTATATTTTCCATATATAGTAGATAACACTTTACCAGAGACCTTAACAAACAACAAAGACAAACCAACCTGTAACAGCCTGGTTCACAATATCATGGACCAGCTCCGTTGCAATCTGCTGTGATGTTAGATGACGCTGTGGTGGGGGTTCAAGAGTCAGCACGCTGCCATTAGGGATTGCCACACTTTCCTTGGCTTTGGTGCTGTCTTGTCTTGGTTGGTCTTCGTTGCCAGCTCCTCCTCCTCCTCCTCCTCCTCCTCCTCCTCCTTCCTCTGTTCCATTGTAAGGAGTCTGTAGGCAGAAGGAAAAGGGAAAGGTTACTATTGTATCCAAGAAAGGGAAAGGGAAAACTTGTAAGAAATATCCAATATAAAACTAAATTTGACATACCTGTGCAGGTATTTCCTGTGCCCCATTGGTAACTCGAGGTTCAGGATCATGCTGTCCATTCTCCTGCGGCTGTGGCTGACTCCCTGCACTGTTAGAGGATGCATTGCTGGAACTGTGGTCACGACTACTTTCTTCTGCCGCTTCCTCAATCTAAAGTGGACACAAATACGGGATCTAAAGAGCATGTAGTGTGAAAATTAATACAGCTAACCTTACTAAATTTTTACTGCACAACAAGAAGGGTAAAAAATATATATATATAATTGAATTAAGGATAGCCCAGCATCTATAATACTTGGGTGAGGGAAGGGAGTATTGTAATGCATGCACAAACTATAGAATTTGGAAGGGAACACAAGTAAATACAGTATAACAAAAAACATTTCAGGGGTAAATATTGCCAATGAAGATATATAAACACAAAAAAAAGAAAAAAAAAATCCATACAGTAATCCAATATATAGAAAAGATAAAAGGCAATCAAATAAAGTTAATTCAATATGATGAAAGGTTATTTATGTATCAAAAAACACATGCATCTATTAGTCATGATAGCCACTAGTCCCTACATAATAAACAAATACAGTTCTATGAAAATTTATCAATTTCTAATAGGGGTACAGAGCTCTTAGTAGTCTACATAATGCAAAAGATTAAGGAAAATGTATAATACCCAAGAAAATAAAAAATAGATTAATAAAAATAATAGAGATATCTACCAAAGGAAAGATATATATCAAAATAAACAAAGGAACTGACTGCTTGATTCTCCATTCTTGTGAAGATGATGTTGATCATCTGCGTGAGGGCTGCCTTTGCCGTCACCTGATTGTTCATGTCACGGGATGCAAGGAAGATGTTGTAGCATGTTCGGACAGCTACTAGGACTGTCCCCTCATGAACACTTACATACTGTGATGTTATGACTGTCAACAAAGCCTGAGGAATTTTTTAAAAAGTTATAAAAAACGTATACCTATGATTACTTAAAATTATAAAAAATTTGAAAGGGTAGCTTTTCTTTATCTTTTTATTTCATTATCTTTAATCATATCTTAATCTAATATTTCAGAAACATTTAGCAATTCAACTCGATACCTTGATTATTTGAATTTCTACATCCTTGTCTGTTGACTGCCCATTGAAACAATTACATATAGTCTCAACAATATAGTCTATGAGTCTCTTATTGGGGTTGTTTGGGTCTGGACAATTGCCTGTGAGATGTCCATATGCGATAAGTTTCTGTTAGAGTGGAAAACAGTTGGGTGAGTGGAAACATCAAAGAATGCTTGACATATCAACACAAAATTTGTCAAATTAATTTTTTAAAGAAACAAATAAAGAACAAGAATAATTATGCATCATACTTGAATACAGTCAAGTGCTGTCACAACAATTCTCGCTGATTTAGACTGGCAAGCAAGCTCAAACGGTAGAAAGTGCTTCTCTGCATCCAGCTGTGGAGCTGCGCCCTTTGGCACGGGCAAGGCAGCCGAGGAGCCTGTGCCTGATCCATTGTCTGACCCGCCCAATTCACTCCGTAGATCCTCTGTGCAGTGGGAAATATATATATTTCTCAGAATGTTTTAAAGGTTGAAATCTGTAGCAATAGGAAAGTTACCCATGCCCATTGACAACAATATAGAAAAAAGAAATAAACATATCACTATGCAGATTATGCACTGTCATCATGCATGCTTAAACAAGAAAAGTATCAAGTATTGCAAAATAATCATGTAAAGTTATTATCATAAATTCTTGAAGATGTATCACACAAGAAAAGAATCTTAAAAAGTCAAATCAACATTAACTTGTGGAAAGTGCTAACAAGGAATATCTTTCTAGGTAATAAAAACCATAGCTTCCTTCCCATGACTTTTATCAAGGCTGACATACATTTATTCAGGTAACAGTCTTCACTCTCAATAGAAATTACTAAGTGATCATCATTCAAGAACACATCCAACTGTGCACATTTTTTTGTTACAGGTTATAAGTAAATGCCGAACTTTGGACAGCAGGCATGTGGCAATATATCACGTCAGCCATCCCAAGAATGTCTCCGCAGGTCATAAATGTCCAATCTACTGCTTAGAATCTCACTGCTTATCTTGCTTGGAGCCTTGTTCACAGTTTCTGAATTGCTTTCTCCATCATGTAAATAGACTTTCAGCTTTCCACTTCACTACCCTGTCTTATTGTGTCTCCTCTAGTTTAAGTTTGTTAGGATATTCCTTAAAATAACTGATGCTACTACAACCAAAAAAAGACAAGATCACCCATCAAACCAACAGTGTAGGGCATATCATCACACAGTACCATAAACAACTTGGCCCACCACAGCTCTGCTCAAAGCTGCTGAACCATACACACAAACAAGGAAAAAAAACAGTAACTACTGCATTCCCACATAATGGTACCCTTAATCTTTTAATCCACCATTGGCCTTTAAAAACTAAGAGTAATTTTACTCTATTTTATTCATTGTCTTCAATGTTACCATGATTTTAAAAACAATTTAATAACATTAACATCAATAACAATAATAACAGTATTGATAGCAATTATATCAAAAAGAAAAACACATTTTCCCGCCAATTCAAGGAATGGGGAAATCAATATCAGGTACTACAGCCTACTGATAGACTCCTTGCCAGCTGAGCACATGTGGAGCCATCTGCATATAACAAAATTCATAAAAAAAACTACAGGGAACAGAACATAAATCCATGGTAGTTGGGTTAAATGAAATATATATGTACATTAAAGTCCAATTGTCTGAATACTTCCTATGACCAACAAAAGTCAGACAAGATCCTGAATCTTATGACACACACAGTAGACCTATAGACTTACCATCAAATCCTATGACATTTGTTGTAATCCTAGAGGTAACAACATACACATACCACTCACCTAAAGCCTGTTCAACTGCTCTTTTGAGTTGTGAGTGGTGAGACCTCTTGATCTCCTTCTCTGCATGTATCTTCTCTAAGGCCCTATACATGAACATCCTGGCCGAGGGTGCTGAGTTCATTCTACTGCATCCTGTTAATTTAAAAGATGTTTAAGCTCAGGATTTCTCTGTAGTCAATATAGAAACTTTAAGTTTTTTAAATAACTTTTAAAGCTCCAAACAAAGACAAAAGAAAAATTAACTTCTCACGAAAAAGAAAAAAAAAGAAAGAAAAAAGAATAATAATAATAACAATAATAATATCAACAACAATAACAACAACAATAATAATAATAATAATGATAATAACAACAACAATAACAATAATAATAATAATAATAATAATAATAATAATAATAATAATAAAAATAATAACAATAACAATAATAATAATAATAATAATAATAATAATAATAATAATAATAATAATAATAACAATAACAATAATAATACCAACAACAATAACAACAACAATAATAATAATAATAATGATAATAAAAACAACAACAATAATAACAATAACAATAATAATAATAATAATAATAATAATAATAATAATAATAACAATAATAATAATAATAATAATAATGATAATAATACTATTACTATAGCTACTACTACTACTGCTACTACTACTAATAACAAGAATAACAATGATAATGATAATAATAGTAATAATAATAATAATAATAATAATAACAATAACAATAACAATAACAATAACAATAACAATAATAATAATAATAATAATAATA